CGTCGACGAGGGTCCGCCAGACGTTGCGGTTGGCGATGCCCAGAATGATTACTAGTGGGTCATCGTGGGGGTATACCACCCCCTCACAGTCTTCGGCTGTGAACAGGATGTTCGGCGCCGGTGACAGGGACTGCCGAAGCTCAGCCTGATGAATCTGATGGGTTAGACCCCTCAGTTGGCGTTTGGCTGTGCCTCGCGAGATTCCCCCGGAAATAACTAGGATGTCGAGGGACTCCTTGCCCTGAGGTCCCTTATCCTTCTTCCGAGCGAAGTTGAGGTCCTGCCGAGAATCTTTTTCAGCTTTTTTCTCCTCGCGCCTGTCCGCGAGGTATTGGCTCAGGTACCCCTTGCGGACCAGATCCTCAATCTGGTCCTTCAGCTGGACGCAGTCCTCGGTGCGATGTCCGGGTGAGTCATGGAACTCGCACCACTGGTCCTTTCCCCTCGTCTGATGCCAGGGAGGCAACGGACGAGGTTTTTTGAATCTCCCCTCGTCCTTCGTCGTGCTGAAAATCTTAGCACGGGGAAGGGAGAGTGGAGTGTATGAATCGTACCTTCCCGTGTAGGGAAAGTGTCTTTCCTTCTTCGGCTCGGCAGCAGAGGACGGTTCTGAGGCCTTAGCCTTCCCTTTCCTCTGCGCCGAGACTTCGGGCTGCTGCCCTTTCGGCTTCTCAATTCTCGGACGAGACTGAGACCTGGATCTGTTCCACTCCTCGGCTCGGATGAACCTATCCGATGCTTCCAAGGCTTCCTCCAGGGTCTGCGGGGGATGCATGACCATGAAGTCCAGGAACTTTCCAGCTTGGAGGCCGTTCCGTAGCGCGAACACGGCCAGGCCTTGATCCAGACTTGTGATTCCGGATGACTCGTTGCTGAAGCGAGTCAGATAGTCGCGGAGGCTCTCGTCCTCCGCCTGCTGCAGACTCATTAGCTCTGCAGTGGTCTTCTCTCGGCGGTTGGCCGTAGAGAATTTGCTCTTGAACTTGTTGGAGAGGTCGTTCCAACCGGTTATGGAGCCTTCCTTGAGCCCTTTGGTGATCCAGGATTGGGCAACACCTTTGAGGGTCGTAGGAAAGTATTTACACCAGGTAGCCTCAGACCTCGGGTTCAGATACATGTGCCCCTCGTAAGAGGCAATGTGATCCTTAGGATCTGAGGTACCATCGTAAGTAATATGTGCCGGGATTTTGACCGTTGGCACATGCTCTTCCAGAATCCACTTCTGGAAGGGCGAGTTCGATGGAACCATGACCGCCTTCCCCTTGTACCCGGCCTCAGGGACCTCGCTCCCTCCTCTCTCAGAGGTGGAAGTGGTTTTCGTCCCCGGCTGAGACAAGGTTGGGTGGGGTCCGGTATCCTCTGGGAAGGTGAGGCGGCTATGCACACTCACCTCCCTCGAACCCAAGCGTTCGTGAACGCTTTGGCGGGCGAATTCCGGGTCCTTGGAGGGCCCCATGGAATTCTGAGCTTCAGAGTGGTCAGAGGGTTGAGGGTTCCTCCTCCTCTCCTTACTGGAGTTTCGGGTGTCCCCTCGCCACCTCTGGCCGAGCTGTCTATGTGGTGGAACTTGTCCACCATCATCCTGACCGATCCTCCTTTTCAGGTTTCTCGGCTGGTGATCATCAGGCATCTGGATTGGAGCCCCTTGAGCTTTAAGGAACTCCATGCAGATGGCCACTGCTCTGGCCACTTCCTCGGTGGAGGGTCCGGAGGGAGGAGTCTCCCTCGGATGTGACCTGGATTGCACGCTATGGCGCGGCGGGGAGTTCCTCGCACCTGAGCCACTCGGTCTCGGGGATGGCCCCGGCTGCCGAGTGTGGTGCGAGGTGTTCTCCTCCTGGAGGCTAGGACCTCTTGAGGCTTCCCTTTCCGGAGAAATGGGGGCCTCCGATTCGGAAGAGGCTTGCTCCGGGGAGGGATAAACCGGCTGGCGTTCCCTCACCGTAATCCGGCCTCCTCCCTTCTTAGCCTTCTTGGAACTCTTTCCACTCTTAGTCATGGCGACTGCCGGAGTGTTTGATGACTGACGCGAAATTTAGTAGCGTTCCCCACAGACGGCGCCAAATTGTTTCGGATGAAAACAATCGAATCTCGGAAGATCCTTTTATCTTGAGGGAACTTGGTCTCGGTCCGGACGACGCAGGAGCCGAGGGTTTCCTGCACAACAAATACACGTAAACTAGCCTCGGGGGGGACGCCGAGGAAGGCCCCTCCGATGCTTAAGTCAGTATATTAGAGAGAGAAAGCTGTGCAAGAGTTTAGTTGCTTGAGGCTTTATTGTCTTTTTATCTTTCTCAGAATTGGCCAAATTGTTGGCTTTTATACCTTGGCTAATGAAGGAGGCGGATTGGGCCCGGAAATCAGTTGGGCTGGGCCAAGCTGATTGGGCCGTTGACTGACCTTGACATGGCTTTGAGGATGTTGATTTTTGACTTTAGCATATTTGGAGAGTTGAACCTTTGCCTTGGGCTTTTAATTGGATCATTCAGTGACCAGGCCCAATTGGACTAAATTGGACCCAAACATATACAATTACGGAGTAATATTTAATTTAAACAATTATTTTCAAGTTATTTAAGATAATTTTAAGTCAAAATAATGTATTGCTGCATAAAAGTGCTATAATATTATTGTATAATTAATTAAATAAAATTGAACATCCATAAAAACTGATAAGACTTTTATCAATATGCGGATTATCAATATAAGTCAAAATCATTGTTTTTAAAAAAAAAGTCAAAATCACTGATTAATATTGGTAATCAAACAAAAACAAAACAGTAAAATTTATACAGAGTACGAGTATAATTTTAATCAATTTGTTGTAGACTTGTAGTAAATAAAGCATGTAAGTTTATTATTCCGATTCTCTCTCTTTAAGACTCATTCAAATTAAAATTAATGAAGTTCAATTCTCTCTCTTTAAGACTCCTTCAAAATTAAAAGTTAATGAAGGTCAATTCTCTCTCGTTAAGACTTCTTCAAAATTCGAAATTAATGAAATTACTCAATTTCCTAAATTCATGCTAATACATTAGAGTCAAGCCAATAGTCAAATATGTAATGATAAGGTTAGGTTTTAGTCTTTATCTATTTACTACTATTTTAACTTGTTAGAATTTTAATTATTCGTGATATTGTGACACATATGAATACATGATAACTGTGCCTGCTTTGATACTTGTATAAATTACGAGTATAAAGCAGTATTTAAGGCCTGTTCTCATTAGCTGAACTGAGCTGAACTGAATTGAATTGAACTGAACTGAAATAAATATTTTATAAGAGAAAATTAGGAGTTGAACTGAACTGAGCTGACCTGAACTGAAGTGAACTGAATTTTAACGTAAGAGAACAGGACCTTACATTTATTTTTATGGGTTATTGTGCTATTTGACAAAAATTAAATATTAAGGTAAATGATTTTTTGGAAAAAAAAATTCTTGAACCTAATTAAATAGTAAATGACATTTCAATTTGTATGTTATGTCTTAGGTGTCTTCTAGGAAAAAAAAAATGTTATGTCTTATGGAGTACTTTTTTTTTGTGTGGAGCATAAGAGTATTTGGAGCAAAAATCAAATATTAAGTTATAATTAATAATCTTTATATATATATATATATATATATATATATATAAAACAATCTTTTAATTTCAAAAAAAAAAAGTTATAATCAATAAATTTCTAACCTATTCAAAATGTATTAGGTTATTTACCTAAATGATCTCTTGAATTAATGAATGAATTGAATAGTATGTACTCGGTATATATTAATTTTTGCACAAAGTTTTTAAATTTCAATTGTAATCCAATTGTTGCGTGCTCAATTTATTGGGTGTCATTAGAATTAGGATCTTGCTAACGAACGCCCCCGGGGCGTGGGATAAGCATTTAAAATCTTACCTAAAGTGACATTTTTTTTTTTTGAAGAGTACCTAAAGTGACATTAATTTGGGAAAGCATGACAAAATCACGCGTCGATCGGTAATTTTAGTTTGATCTTTTTGCTTTTAACTAGCTTATCCAATGCCCCGGGACGTTCGTTAGCATTTGCCTTAGAATTAATGTAACCATAATTCACTTGACAGAGCTTTGCAATTCTGGAGGAAATTTTTTCTCTTTTTCTTTCTTTTAATTATGTATCTTGGTCTCATGTTAAAAGGGATGGCAATACGCGCGGTTGCCCATCACCTAGCCAAGTTAATTCCGTTTGAAGGCGAAAATGTTTGGGTCAATCATTTTCCTTGTGAGATTGCCTCATATGTTTTGATTGACACTTTAGTATTAATATAATTTGGCTCCGATGTTTTCTAAAAAAAAAAAAAATTGTTTATTGGAATTGGGAATAAGATTTGGTTTATAAGTCTTATAACTAGGAGCAAAGTTATTGAGGCAAGTGAATACACAACACAAGAAGGTAGTTAAGTATTTTAAATCTTTTAACCTTTTTTACATAGGAGTTTAGGACCAATTAAAATAAATAAATCTTGAGCCGTGGAGGCACGGCCCGACCAACCCTAGGTGGCTTCACCCCTACTCCGCACGACAACACGGTTCGGCCGCGATGTGAGGCTGCCAGCCACCAGGCAGTGGCGCGGCAGGCCGGCAGTAATTGGATCATCGGTGTCAATATGATGCAGGGGCCTTCAGATTATATAGCTCCTCTACCCAACATCACAACTCACAATATCACACTCCCAAGTCCCAAGTCCCACAAAGCCATAAAATGATAAATTAAATGAACATTAACAGGCAATAACAGCAGTGTATATCACAACTTTAATTTAATTATTACTGATAGATCGAGAATATAAAAAGAAATTAAATAATTTCTTTCTAATTTTCTATGTATAGGAAGTGTGTTTTTTTTTTTTAATTTTTTTTTTTTTTTTAGTGTTTAGAGAGCCACAGCCCACAGGGGCTGGGTGAGAATCGATCCCATGATCTCCTACAATCGGAAGGAAAGCTCTAACCAAATGAGCTTTTTAAATCAATAACAAAACATTCAATTCATCAACTGATATTACACAGATTTCTATACTAATCAATTGGAAACGTACTATAAATTCCCCAACAATTATTATTACTCCGTTAACAGAATAGCATACAAGCTAATCAAATTTTTACATACTTGAAACACTTCCTCTTAAGCCCTCAAAATTAGATATTATTGGCACCCAAACAAGATTATCAGCAGGAAAGAAATGGCAAATTGGCGATGAACCAGGCTTGATTCCTAGAACTCGAAACGAGAAGTGGTTAGGACTCCATTGAGAGGTATCCATATGACAAACAGCAACAGCTTGTACAATACTATCACTTCCCTTTTCTTCACCTTTTAATGAAACTTGAAACACTTTGCTTTCGCTTTCTTGGTGGTGGCAATAGTACACAACGTATGGGAAAGGCATGGTGTGACAAGCAACTGTTTTCGGAGCTTGTATTTCTATAGGTTCATCTACTATGGTATAATTTTGTAAAATACTACCAGATTTCGCAAAGTTTTGGGTGGTCAAGGCCTTAAATTTTGTTGTTGGTCCGAAAATCTTATGCACAAAATCGAGCATAGACTCTAAGGAAGTTGCACAAAATTTAGTCTCTCCTAGGATAGGTTTTACTATGATGCATTGTCTTAGAGTATCTTCCATGGCTTTAGCTTGAGACGAAGCTTGAGAAAAGCCGAAAAGTTTAAGAAGATAAGGGAGTTTAGATGGTGAGAAAGGTATTAACTTGGCTTCTTCCCTAGGAAGAAAATGAGGAGAACTCGAAGAAGGGTTTCGGCCTCTAAAGAAGATAGGTATTATATTTCCTAGTTTAAGGTCTTTAGGGGTGAAAAATACTTGCACTGAATGATCCATGTGTGGTGTTGTTGAATGGCCTTGATGATGATGATGTTCATGGCTTCCTTCATCGTTTGGATTGCTTGCAACGTTTTCTCCAATTGCGGCATAACAAATCTGCCAAAGAAATTAAAATCAAGTCAATTCATAGTATAGGTTAAGTTGAAGACAAATTATATGTAGTAGAGGGTAATTAAGAAGATGATTAACCATTAGTAGAAGAAAATGTAGAGCCAAACTCCACCGAGTAAATTGAGAATAATGCATCTTAGCTTGAAAAATGTGTTGGTGTGAATGTGTGATGACTGATGAGAGCAGTATAAGGCTAAATTATTACAGTAGTTTGGATGTAATGCAATAATGCATGATGAAGCTAGTATAATACATTACGTACATATTATTTAATTTGAATGACATTAGACAATATTACTGGACCCCACATGTGGCCACATCAATCTTTCAAAAAATATTTCCGTTTCATAATAGGTGCAAAATTTCGACCTTTTATTTGCACTATTTAGAGTCAATAATTTTGCGGGCAAACTTGCAATTGTGGCTTTACCCGAAGAATTCATCAACATATATGGTTTATAATTGTATTTTGCCCTTTGTCAAGATCACGGAAAGATTTCCTCCAAAAGTTAAAGAGCCTTTTAACCAAGTGCTCTAGGTATGTGGTTAAAAGGCTCTTTAACTTTTGGAGGAAATCTTTTAACCAAGTGCTCTAGGTATGTGTTTTCAAAAAAAAAAAAAAAAAAAAAAAAAAAAAAAAAAAAAGTGCTCTAGGTATGTAATCTCTTAATAACATTAATTAATGAACATAATTCAATATAATCGGAGGTCACTAAGCTAGTCACAAGTATGGTCAGGCGTTTTGAAAACCTTAATAACCTAGATAGCTAGACTAGACACAGGCACATAGCATAAAAATTTTAATTTGGAGTGGTAATTTACATAGATCCTTTACCTAGACATAAAATTGAATTTCATTATAGAAGAATAAATCTTGTTTGATTTACATTGTTATCTTAATGCCTAAAGGTAGAGGTAAATATTGATAACTCTCGGATAGAGTATTAGAACGGAAAGATCGATCCATTTGATAATGAACTATTGGTTCTAAGCCATCTATGGCGATTAATCAACAATTCACGCACAATGCTTTTCTTGTGTATTCTTGATAAACCAACATTACACCATTATGACAAATTATAAGAGGTTTAATTAAATAGACATGAGATTTTCTAATATTGATGTCACGCAATAAGACACAAGGTTGCTCATCTATAAGATTATTATTTCTATAACAAATGCTGTATAATGAGAACCTATTCAAAATTAATTAAATTCAATTGATGAATCCTATAAATTTCCCTTAATTAGGTTCATCATCATTATGCCTCTATTTACTCCATTTTTTTATAGGATTTTTCTTTAAAATTTGACCGGCCAGGAAAGTTGTTGATAGACTGCGTATATTACTTTAACATTTGCTTATTAGCATATATGCACACGTTAAACAAACCAATCGAATATACAATATATATACATAAACCATTAAAGAGGATCCAAAGAATCTACTATTAAAAGTGGTAGTAGGTTACATATGATCTAGACAATCAACATTTTAGGTAACTTATTTACAGAATTGCATATGTGAAAGATTTGTCATTAGCTGGAGCGGAGTATTATTATTGATCTTTTGTTTTTTCTTGAAAGGAGTGAATTTGATTTATAAAGATTGGTCACCCCATGCATAAATAATATAGAGTTATGTAATTGCCATTTTGTTTTTGTATAAGAAAACTTCAAAACTCTGTGCATCATTCATTGGCTATTCGAATAAAAAGAATTTAATTTTTATTAAAAGTAAGTGCAAAAAGCATAGGTCCATGGAAATCAGGTACTCCACTTGCATTGATAATTTCACTCCGTATATTTTATGGTCCTACCAAAAATTAATCATGAGATAATTATGTATTATAAAATTACTAATTATACAATTCTTGTACTTTATATTAATATTGATCGATTTTGGCATGAATCATGTGAATTCTCCTAATATTTGTTGTTATTACATTATGTAATTAATTTCCATTAATTTATGTTTGTCATTTGATCGCCCTAACGTTGTTTAAATAGGGGGAAAGGGAATAACACTTTTATTCCACACAGCAAACCATCAACATTCAACAGTATCTCATCCTAAGATTAGTTTCTGTCAAAAAAATAAAAATAAAAAGAAAATAAATTTAAAAGATCAGAGATTTGCAAATATGGAATCTTACATCAAAATCCTCTTCATTGCTCTTCTTTCTCTTAACTTGGTAATATGCTATATTGCCTTTCATTATTGCATAATAATTACTCCATCTTGTTAAAATCATCATACTATTTCTTATGAATCTGTGCATGTACGAGTAATTAAATACAAAAATATGTTTTATGCATGTATTTATATAATTAAGCTAATCTATGTAGTAGCATAGTATGATAAAAGAGAGTGCTTAAAAAAATAAAATTGTGGAGCACATAGTCATGATCACATATTATCGTGAGAAATTCCAAGTTTCTCAATTAACTTAAGAAACAATTAGCGGTTTTACCTTTAGCTTAAACCGCTACATAAATAGCGCATTACCCTAAACCGTTACTTGAAATGGTTATTTAGGGGTGAAACCTTTTACTATAATATTACACTTATAACTCTTTGAAAAACAAACTTTTTTTCTCATATTGAGTAACTAGGGCGACCTCTGCTACTATATTAATAAAATTTTAAAGGAAATGGTTTATAATTTTAAAACTTTTGGTGTACAACCTATTACACATTGAATATTCTCATTGATAATATATTACAATTTAGGGAGTGATTTTTTTTTAATTCTTTAATTACAAGCTTAGTTTAGTACTTACAGAGTGATGCATGGTTTAATTTGAATTCCATCTACCTTATTTTAACTTAGTGTGAAAAATCAAAGGGTGTTTTTAAGATGTACCCTACACTTTTTCATGCATGTACATGTAATTTATATATTTACCTATGTGAAGTGCTTCATTCATTTTTTACTAAAGGGTTTGTATTCAATTGTATCATTCCTTAACATTGTCGTCGTCTATACCATTTTCTATAAAGTCCATAAGCTTTTATCTGTGAAAATGATGTACAACAAATGGCCGAATGTCATTGCTATACAATAATCTTTGTTTATTCTAATAACAACCTTAATTTTTTTACTATTAGGCCATGTTTTGCTCACCTTATTTCCACTTATTTCAAGGTTAATAAGTTCAGATAAGTGTTAATAAGTTTAGATAAATTCATATAAGATAAGTTCAGGAAAAATAAATTCCGATAAGTTGTGATAAGAGTTAACCAGGGCTACCCAAGTTTAATTTATAACTAAATTAGAACTGGTTAATAAGTTTAGATAAGTAAAAATCGAATTACCCTTTAAATTGTCCATTATATTATTCAAATTACTCTAGTTTCACTCAAACATACGGAGTACGAGTATTATTATTAATGTCAATTTATAAATGTACAGCTCGCGAGCCCAAGTGATGGGAGGAAAGACCCGAAAACATATTGGGGAGACATGATGAAGGATCAACCGATGCCTGAAGCTCTAGAAGATTTCATAAATCAAAGTTCTTATGAAAAGAGAGAAACAATCAAAGAATTCATCAAAGACTTTGATCCAATTCCTAATATTTCAGTTTACCATGATGATAGTGTGAATTCCAAAGAATTGAAATCAAAGAAGGCAGATTGCAAGGAAGAACATCATGATAAACTAGCATCAAAGAAATTTGACGACGAATTTGAACCAATCCCTAATATTTCTGCTTACAATGACTAATTAGACAAAAGAAAAAAGAAATGCATTGGATTATATATATGTATTATTTCAGGTTTGTAACACTTGCTTGTGTATTTTCCTTATGTTTGTGTGCCATCCTAAAAGAGGTCTCGTTATGTACGTGACCTGAAGGTTTTACTCGGTTTATAATAATTTGCGCAATTCAGATTTTATTTTCACATTTTCTTTTTGTGAGAATACTCGTGTAATAGTTATATGAGTGCAGTTTTCTGATGTATCGTTAATAAAATCTTTTAATATATGTGTCCTGAGATCATCTGTTCATCTCTATATATGAACTATATAACGAGGGAGAACTATATATGAAGATTAAAGAAAAAGTTATCATTTTGTATGAATAGTTTTATGAGTCTATGACCAAAGAGAACCTTTATTTTTTTTTTTTAACAGGTTAAGAGAACTTTAATCACCCAAAATTATCCACAAACTCTAATGTAATACGGAGTAATGAACTTTAAAAACTTTATTTAATAAATGAACTCCAATGTATGATCGCACAAACTTTAATGTAATCCTTAACGTTTGAAGAAATTATCAGTTGGGTGTGGCCCAAATTTTAGCCTATTATCCTGTGGAACATCTGTTCATGTTCAACAAAGTATAATCTTTCGGATACATGTAGCATGAATACTTTAGCCTATTATCCGGTGGAACATCTGTTCATGTTCAACAAAGTATAATCTTTCGGATACATGTAGCATGAATACAATAATAATGGAGGAATTTTTAGAATCTTCTGGTCATTTCTTCCATATTCCATCTACAACTATAAATATAAGTCAGGCATTCTTAAATCAAAGACATTATTAACAATTTGGTCCTCTCCACTCAACGAACTTATCTAGTTTGTTAAACTTGATTAGACATGGTTATCCCGGATTTTCATGACGTTGTATATAGAAAATGAATAAATTCAAATAAGCATTAACATCTCCAAGTAAGATAAGGTTCGAAAAATTAATTAAATCCATACCATAGGTAAAAAAATAAGGATTATTCACCTTTAATTTACAAGTTAAAAATAAGTTAATTTAAGGTGAGATGGTATAAATTGAGATAAAATCATAATATAAGTTCAAATAACTGATACGTATGAAAAGATTTTATTTGTTAATTATCACTGGTTTATTATTGACATTTTGTTTTTGTCACTGAATTTGATTTTAAAAGATTGCTCACAGGTCACGCATAAATGATGTAGCACAAATGCACAGTACACCTTATTATTGTCTTTTTAGTAAAGGAGAAGATGGTGTGCATTATTTATTGGCTATTGTATAAAAAAAAAATTAATAATAATAATTTTTCTAATAACATTGGTAAAATAGCAGCAAGTATATTTGGAAAATAGGTAATCCACTTGATAATTTTTATATTCATGGTCTGCCACTAAAAATATTTACCAAATAAGATTTTTATTTTGTTTATTATTATATAACAAATTTTCATACATTATTTTATTAATATATCCTGGCATGAATAATGTGAATTCTACTATTATATGTTCTTACATCAAATAATTGATTTATTGATTGTCGTTTGCTTGCCCTAAAATTCTATAAATAGGGTACACAACAATTCAATAATACTTCGTATATATCATACTAAAAGATTACTACTAGTAGTGATTTGCAGATAGATATGGAATCTTACATCAGAATCCTCTACATTGCTCTTCTCTCGCTTATCTTGGTAAGCACTACACAACTATTATTATTATTTTTTTCTTAATAGACCTAACAATTAAATTAAGAAGGCTTGAAATATAGAATATACGATCTCCAGTACATAGAATCGACTAATTAATAAAGTATGGAATGTAGTGTATATAGTTAAAATAATTTTTTTCCCTAGTTTTATGTTATCTTTTGCTTTCTCATAATCACATTGTTAATGCATAGTATAACATTACGAGTTTTAGTAACACTACACTTAATTATACTTCCTCCATTTCATATCATATTACACATTTTATTTAGGCATATTTGTCAATGCATACTTTTTTAATCCAAATATTCTTCATCATATATTAGCGGTTAATATATTTTTGATATTTGAACAATACATAAAAGAGAATGCTAATAATAACCAAATACTAGGTAGACTCGAATTTTATTTTATTTTATTTTATTTTATTATATTATTATTATTTTTTTATTTTATTTTTTGCTAAGACTATGTTTTACAAGTTATTGTTATACTCTATGTGCTTCGTGTTAATATGGGAGAATATTTTAAATTATTTTCAATTTATAAGAAAGAAAATGTCAAATTGGGTCTTATTGTAAGATGCACCCTAATTAAGCTTATTCATGCACTTTTTATATTGCTACATAAACACGTACTTGTTTATTAGTGTGTACGAGGTTATTCAAGTTAATTGCCTTTAAATTTGTTCCTTCAAATTATTTTGATCTAGTCCTAATTAAAATGTACTTAGTACGAAGGGTTTGTTCTTATTTACCGAGCTCAGCTGAACTGAACTAAACTAAATTGAACTGAATTGTTTATAAGAGAAAGAAATTAAAAACGGAGTAAACTGAAATGAAATGAAGTAGTGAATTGAAGAGAACATGCCCAAAGTATGTATTAATAATGTCAATTTACAAATGTACAGCTCACGAGCTCGAGTGAAGGGAGAAAAGACCCGCAAACATATTGGGGAGACATGATGAAGGGGCAGCCGATGCCTGAAGCTCTCAAGGACTTTATAAATCAGAAGTCTTACGAAGGTCATGAAAAGAAAGACACGATAATTACAGGTTTTATCAAAGACTTCGATCCAATTCCTAATATCTCAGCTTACCATGATGATAATGCGATGAAGTCAAAGGAAATGAAATCACAAAAGGCAGATTGCAACGACTTAGTGCACCATGATAAACTAGCGTCCAAGAAGTTATTCGATGATGAATTTGAACCAATCCCAAATGTTTCTGCTTACAATGAATAATTAGAATAATATATTTAATGCATTGTTATGCATTGATGATGGATTAATTATATGTCATGTATTTCAGGTTTGTAACACTTGCTTATTATGTATTTTTCTATATGTTTGTACTGTTTCCCATCCTAAAAGAGATCTCGATCTCTTACCTAATTAAAGTTTTATTTGATAATGCGCGTAATTTTGATTTATTTTTCTCATTTTCCTTTTTGAGAGTACATTCTCTACTTCTCTAGGATCTTTTACTAAAATGACTACTTTTACAAAATTATTTACCAAATGGGCTACTTATTAATATTAATTCCAAAATTAACTAACTTATTAACTTAGAAGGAAATTATTTATTTCTTATTTTCCTTTGAACTAGTTTGGTTTACTTTATGGGATTTTTTTAAAGAAATTTTTTTTTTTTGGGGGGGAGGGGGATTCTAATGCCATAGTTTAAGATATCCAATGATGAGAGGGTAGCTAGGTTGTTTTTCGTAGGGTGTGCTTTTATTTTCTGTTTTGTTTGTTTTCTTATCTTTGTTTTAATTTCTGTAAGTGTGTTTTTCTTTTGTTAGGGGTTCTCCCCTGTTTTAAACAAAAAAAAAGATATCCCATTAATTTGAAAAATAATATTCAACAAAATATATTTGCAACAATTCTCTGGAGACTCTACTTAAATTAGGCAAAAAAAACAAAACAAAAAAAAAAAAAACATGTTTCAAAAAAAAAAAAACTGAGAACATATTCATTGTCTACCATTATATATCACATAACTATGTGTAAATTTGATTTAATATACACATTAAACTCAAAAATATTCTAATTAGATGACATTAACAGATAGTATACAATTAATAGGCATGAAAAAGATGAACAATACTTTAAAACCCTTATCGTTGTATAAATTTGCGGTAGTGTTGATAGAACAATACTATTTGAAATTTAAATGATACGATCTGTCAATTTAGACGAAAAAAATTAGTATATTTGTACTCTGTATATCGTTAAATTTTACAACTTACAAAAAAATCCTAAAACAAAATTAAAATAAAACCAAAAAACAAAATTAAAAAAAAAAAAAAACAATAAAGTGAACCCTGAACAAAGGTGGTTCAAAGGAACAAGAAATAGCTAATTTACTTCCAAGTCAATAATTTAGCTAGTTTTGGAATTAAAATTCATAATTAGCCGTTTTGGTAAATACTTTTGTCAAATTAGCCGTTTTGGTAAAAGATCCACTTCTCTATATGTATAACGTAATAGAGAATAGAATCAATCTTAAACTTAAATTATAAGTTAAACTGTTTAGTTGAGTTGATTTATAAAACTATTATCTTTACAAGGGCGTTTGATTATTGATATAGCTAGGTTTTGGATCAAGAATGAAATTAGGGTGGTAAGGGGTTAGAATTTGATTCTTAATACTTTTTGTTTGGTTTTTGTTCAAAAAATGATTTTTGTTTCTTTTTATTTGTTACCTAGAGGTGTGGTATGAGACAAACTCACCTTCCCTTACCCTTTGGGTTTCTAAACCCCATACCTTGTGAGTTTGCGATACACATTTGAAATTAAAACAAACTTAAAGTGAATTTAAATCATTTTAAAATCGTATCTCATACCTAAATTTTGTGAACCAAACACACCCTCACGTGGTATCGAGAGGACAATTCATTTTACTTGGCTTGAAGATGGAGCACCACAGATGGGCTATCAAAGATGTCGATAAGGTAAGATGGGCCACCACTACACCTGTTCAATGGGTTAGGGGCCCATTTAAAGCCCTAGTCCAGCCCTTTTATAAAAGGGTTTTACCCATCCAACATTTAAATAGGGTGGGCTTTTAAAGGGCTATTAAATAATGGGTTTTTAAAGGTTTGGGTCTAAGTTAAAAAGGGCTGAAATTGGGTAACACTTGAGAGGCTTTTTGTATCCTAATTTTTCTGTTTGTTTCTAAAACTTCCTAACGTCAATTTTAAAATTCCCTATTTCCCCCAAATTATGAACCCTAAAAAAATTCCCAGATTATAATTTTTAAAAATTCCCATATTATAGCTAATAATTTCCTTCTTCTTGCTCGCCGCTCTTAATCTTCAACTACCAAGGTATGTTTTCGTGTATTAATTTCTAAATTCGTTTGTTTTTATGTCAATTTATGTATTCTTGCTCGCCGCTCTCAATAATGTACGAATCTATTGATTTTGTGCTTGGATTTTAAATTATATAATATTTTTTGAAGTTTGAATGCTAATTGATCATCATCTACTCGATTTAGTACTTTATTAGGTTGATTATGGTTTAATCTGTTGATTTACTGCAGTTAGGGGTAACTTTAAATCAGATTCAAGTCTAGTGTTGATTGAATTATGTGATAAATTGTTCTTTTGTCTAAATCTATTTGTTCCAAATTTTATTTGTGTTTTAAATAACCTAGCACAAAATGTATGCATTGAACTGCAGAATGCGTTTGTAAGGCTATCATTATCTTTTAAGACATTAGTTTTTTCTGACTCGAAAGCAGGGAAATTACTATTTTCTCATCAAATTAAACGAATTCCAACTTGATTTAGCCAGACCATTCATTGATTAATCGAATAACATCAAACTTTTACCTACTTTTGCAGTTTTTTTTAACCATGGAAAGTGAAGCAACTACAACATCAATGCCGGTAGCTGATGAGGTTGATGAATCTAATACCGCCCGTAAGCGTAAAAGGAGTAGGAAATCTAAATTTTGGCGAGAAATGACGGAAGGAAAGAACTCAAAAGGTGAGCGAATCGCTATTTGTAAGTATTGTAAAATGGAGTTAATTGCCCACAATAATAGTGGCACATCTCATTTAATACGTCATTTGCTTGATGTGTGTAAAAAACGAACTAGTGGACTTCCACTTGGGGAGGCGATTGAGGATGATGAAGAATTTGTTTTTGATATGAGTGAATTAAGGAAAGAGATTTTATTATATGTTGTTGAAGGTTCTCATTCTTTTTCGACCGTAGAAGAAAAAGGTTTTAGTCGGATGATGTTAAAGGCTAATTCTAAATTTAAACCATTTAGTCGAGCAACTTTAACTAGAGACCTTTTTTCTTTGTATGCCTCTTATAGAGAGAAATTAAAAAAAAAATTGAGGAGTGCACCCGGATGAATATGTTTGACAACTGATAATTGGAAATCATCACATACTTGGCAACATTACATTTGCATAACCACCCATTTTAATGATCATGATTGGAAACTTCATAAAAGGATTATTAAGTTCACATCATTGTCACCCCCCTTTGATGGACAAAGCATCTCCGAAGAGATTTTTATGTTTCTTAATCAATTGCGATTAGATGACAAAGTGCTTAGCTTAACGGTTGACAATGCAAGTTACAATGATGTTATGGTTAAGCACATGAAAAATCGTCTTGGATCAAGGGGTATGTTGGTTAGTGGTTGTTGTTTTTTTTCATATAAAAAGTTGTGCTCATATCATCAATCTTATTGTCCAATCCGGTCTATCTTGTATTGAGAACATATTAGATAAAATTAGAAACTTGGTAAAATTTGTTACAAGATCATCTTCTAGAAGCAAGGACTTTTATGATACTGCTCAAAAGCATTTTCATTTAGAGGCTAAGAGGAAACTTCGTATGGACATGCAAGTTCGTTGGAACTCGATCTACATATATGATGCTTGATAATGTGCTTCACTATAAAGATGTGTTTATTCATTTGGGGTCATTACATGCATCTTTCCAAGAGTAATGTGCCTTTGGAGGATGAATGGGAAAATTTGAGTGTTGTTCACAAGTTTTTAAAACTCTTTTATGATGTTACATGTATGTTCTCGGCCAATAAGTCTCCAACTTCTAACATGTATTTTAAGGGAGCATGTATGGTGCATCGTCGTTTACTTGAGACATCTAAAGGTCCACATGAATTTTTAGCTTGTGCGAGTATAACATATATCTAGCTTGTGCGGCAATTCTTGATCCAAGGTTTAAGTTAAAGTTTGTGGAATATTGTTTTGACAAGATATATGGTTCGGATGAGGCTATGTGTAAAGTTGAAAAAGTGTTGAACACTTTAAGATCTTTGTATAATGAGTATAAGTCAACATTTTCAAATTCCCCAATTGTTGCTCCCTCTACTACAAGTAGTAGGATTCAAGATGAAAACTTCTTTGATGGTTATCAAAGTTATAGTTTAAGAATTACAAGGACTCAAACAAAAAAGTCCCAACTTGAGTCATATTTGGAGGAATCGGAGCTTGATTTGAACATGGAGCTAGATATTCTAGAGTATTGGCAACAAAATGTCGTGAGATTTCCGGAGCTTGCAATATTGGCACGAGATCTTCTAACGATTCCGGTTAGTACGGTGGCTTCCGAGTCGTCTTTTAGTGTAGGGGGGAAAACTATATCTTCTAATCGTAGCTCATTGAAACCCTCAACGGTTCAAGCCCTAGTTTGTGTTCAAGATTGGCGCCGTGATGAATATAACATCCCTTCAAATTTGGATCGTGATTCTAGCTCGGATGATGATGAGGCCGTTGATGATGGATATGATGATGATGAGGTTGATGATAGTTTCCTATACTAGGTAATTGTTTTTATTTTGCTTTTGGTAATTCCTATACTAGGTAATTGTTTTTATTTTTTTACTTTTGATTTTCTGGCAGCTATTATTAACTTCTGGTTCTTCTTTAAGTTGCATGGCATTAGCTATTTGCACTTCATTTACGACATATTCTGCCTCTGGTTATCATATATACATAATCTTGTTTTCTTCTCACATATTTGTTATTCTTATAAGTTACATGGCATTAGCTCTTTGGACCTCGTAGCTCTGACATTGTCAAAACATCAAGTATGCATATTAGATTTGGTCCCTGATAAGACTCCTGTATGGTGCTGTATAGTTGTTTTTATTTTACTGCTTCTATTTTGAACTTATTGCTGAGATGTACAATTTATATTTTACTGTTTCAGTTTCTGCTTTATATGGAAGAACATGATACTGCTACTGCTTCTATTTTACTGCTTCTGTTTCTGCTTTATATGGCAGAACATGATCTGAAATTTATTTTCAGATGCTATGTTGCCTAAAGTCTTATATTATTGTTGCAGGCTACTTTAACAACCATGAGGCGACTGTTTCGGCACAAGATGCTTGGGAAGACAGTTAATTATGCTTATATGGTGGAGCAG